TTTTTTTTTTATATACAATATTATTTTTTTTTAATCTGTAAAAAGTACATATGCAGGATTCCAGGTCAGAGGCAGAAGGTTTCCACATCAGAAGATAAGACTTTTGCCCTTTTATTATTTTGGAGGAAAATATAATCTGTCAGTTTTTAGACAAAGCAAGAATAAAGGCAGAATGCAAATCCAACTTCCACCAAGCAATTAGGATTAAAGGCAACAATTCATTGTAACAAATCAGGCTGTCTCCTCARACTTTGGTGGTTCCCAACTTTTTGGGCAATTACAGAGCAGTTTTTTAGAAGGTGCTGACAGCTGAAGCAGCTCRTGCTTATCATCTCTGCTACAGTTGTACACACACAACTTGCAAAAAAGCCTGGGCTGCCTCCTTCTTTGTATGGCAACTCAAACTCTTGAGTCAGAAGGCTGTTTCTCAAAATTCAAGGAGCGAAAGAGGGATGTCTTACTCAGGGTGAACAAATCTCCCAGCTACAGTATGAATCAAGAGCTTGCTTTTATTTTTCTCTGCTATCAAGAAGCCTATTTCTTATTTGTCCCCTTAAAAACATGGAGAGACTTAAACCAGTGTAAATACCAAGCTCAATTTTCTAAATGTAGACTGTCCCACCATCCATGGGTGATGACATTGCTGATTTTTTCAATATTAATCCATCAACCTCTTTGTTCTCACTGAGGAGAATCATTTGATGAATGAGGGSATCATGAACAGCCCAACACCTTTAGTTAGGGAATTACTGTCACTTCTCAGAATCCAGGGAATATTCAATTTAGAATACTGGGTGGGAATATATCAGTRTTTGGGATCCACAAATCTGGAGCTGAAGGAACAGCAAAAGTKTCACTGGCACATGGAATTATTTGCTTTCCTTCTACTCCACAGCATTTGCTATTTTCTATACTTTTCTTGAATATTCCATTTTTTTTTTGTGCAGCACAATTAACATTCAGAATATAATTTAAGGGTTCTGATTTTATTTAGAGGACAAAGCTAAGAAGTTGACTTCTTGACTGCAAGACAAACACAACTCTAGGAGGGTCATAATGGAACTGCAGAAATTTGGCCTCTTTGAAAAGTCAAGCTCTAATTGTTAGAAAAAAAAAAAAAATTACTGCTGGGAGATTCTGACCAACAGGCAAGTTTGAGGCTTGGATTAGGAAAAGAACCACACATCCTTGTTTTGACTGCATGCAAACAGGAGAGACAATTCTGGGATTTCCAGGCTYTTGCCCAAATCCAGTGTGCCAAAAATGTACATGATTTTCTGTTTTTTTATTTCATTCTGTAAGGGGAGGGGGTATTGTAGAAATTGTAAAACAGGACAGCTACCTAAAGAAAATGAGGATTGTTTTGTTAGAGAGTACAGTGCAAGACTCAGAAACAACTAGGACTAAAAAGTCATTTTTTGTGCTTAAATTTACACTCTTATCTTCAAGAAAAKAAGACAGCAGCAACAGAATGAAAATGGCAATATTCTACTGTACCTTAYGTACCCAGAGGGAAAACAGTCTGAACTTTGGGTTGCACATTTTGCAGGTCAGAACTTAATTTTTTAAGCATTTTTTGGATTTTTTTAAGGATTTTTAAGGATTTTTTAAGGATTTTTTGAAGGATTCAGAATGAGGGCACATCACTTCAGAGAGAAGTTTTACTATCTGTGTAAAACCCAGAACCCAAAACCTTCAAACTCTGCTTGATCTAGGAAATCTCAGGATGAAATTTATAAAAGAAACAGCAATTAGGCCTTAAAATATTTGATAGACTGTGCACATCATCAGCTCCTGGAGGAAAAGAATAGTTGGTACTTTAAACAGTGATGGAGTATAAAGAGTGTTGCTGGGGTAATTGGAAAATGAGAAATAAATGTCCTTTATTTGGTATCTGCTGCTTATCTACACAGAGAAAAAATATCAGTAATGTACATGTGTTTGGAGAAAAACACCATCCCATAATATGAAATGGTTTTGTCCTCAATTTCCTCAATTCAGGAATTCTTGTGGCAGTAACTGAACCCGTGGGGATTCATGGAGAAGTTAAATTTGAAGGGTCACTCTTTATTTCACAAGAGGAGCAGCAATGATAAGATTTGCTGTTTTTGGAACTCCAGAATTCTGTTTTTGACCTCTCCCCTAACAGACTGGCAGCCATTCTACATCTGCATTTAGAAGGTGGATGAGGATGGGTGTATGCATCAGAAAATGCTTTTATTGGTTTTTTTCCTCTTTCTTTTTTTTTTTTTTTCTTGTAACAGCAAACTCTGTTTTTCCTCTTTCTCCTTTACACCCAGAGAGATTTAGGAGAATAAGGCAATTGAGTGCAGGTTTAAACTAATAACAGTTCTCAGAGGACCAGAAAAACAGTTTGAAAACCCAACATATCTGAACTTTGGAAAATGAAAAATTACTAGTTCTTCAGTAAGTCACTGGATAATAATTAGAAAAATAAATTCATGTGGGGCCAGTAAGAAAAATCCATTCATTAAGCCACATCTAATTTTAAATAAACAATTACTGAAATCAGTATTATTTACCTCATCAATTACTTTATAAGTTCTCAAATTATTTTTAATATACTGCTGCAAATTACAGTAATAAAGTAGCTGGTATTTAGGTAGGAACATTGAGACTGGAACTTTTCCCATGTTTTCTTTCTTTTAAACTTGTTTTAAAAGAAAGATTCATGTTTTCTTTCTTTTAAACTGAAGTTAATGTCTGGACAAAAGCATTTTCACTTAGATCATATACTGATTTCTATGTCCAAATTAGTGCCACAGACAAAGGAATAATAATTTTAGGAGGAAACTCTACAGTCAGATGTATTGATATGATATGAAGAGAATTTTTTTAATATAAAACTTAATATAAAAATATTTTTCAGGGGGAAGAATAACAGTCACTCCCTTTAAATTTGATGCTGTACTGCTGAACCCCACTGAAGARTTCTTCCACTTATTTCAGCATAAAAGCATCATGAAGATTTTTTTTTAAAGACTCAATCTGTGCACTAATTAGGAGGAAAACCAGAACTTAAAAGCTGTTTTTCAGCAAAGGGGCCAATAACTGTGGCAAAAAGATTTGAGAGCTACATAGGGAAATAAAAAGAATAATTTGAGCTGTAAGGGACCTGAACAAGAGTAAACAGAGACTGAGAAAGACAAAACTGAAAGGATGGAAGATCTGAAAAGATCAAACTTTTTAAAGCAAATAAATTAAGACTGAAAAAGACTCCATTTAAGTGATACTGTCCAGCCCAGCCACAAAGTACTTGAAAAATACCCCATGCAGGTAACAGCATCAYAAATTAATGAAAGAAGAGACTCTCCAGTTTCTTTTTCCAGTCACATATCAGAGATGTTATGCTATTTCCAAAAACCATGTTGGATTTGTACTGGAACACCCAAAAGAAAAGCAACTTTTGTGAATGAAATCAAAGGCAGTTTGAGGCTTCTGTCAGAACCTGCAAAGGAGGTTCCATGATTAGAATCCAAAGTATAACCTTTAGGAAAAATTCAGATTGTGTAGAAAAATAAAAAATACAAAGCAGCAAACACTGCTTAGTTCAAGGGAAACTTCTTATAGTTCCATATACTGTAACCCCCTATAGAAATCATGAAACTCTTATTCTCATGTTGTCATTTCTGTTTATTTAGCTAAAAGAACCAGGACTAAGAAGAGAATTTTTTTTTCATGTGACATAATTTGTGAGAAAGGGAAACTCCTTCCTACTCCTSTGATATGCTCCAGACTCTGAGTTTGCCAGATTAACTAAACCCACTCTGCTGACAGTGAATTACAAACCAAAKGCTTATTAATTGTTTTTTTCTTGTTGGATATAAGCATTTTTTTTAAAAGGGAAAATGAGGAGGCAATACTTTTTATACTTTAGCTCTAACAGTGTAGAGGCTCTGAGAATGGCTGCCAGTCTGGATAAACAGATGCTCCTTAGAAAATTCAGACAGGTACAGAAAGAAAATTCAAATCCTGATGCTGCTGGTGCAGTGGTGTTGCTTTTTGTTGTTGCTTTGTTCATGCCATAAAAAAGAAAAAAAAAAGAAAAAAGAAAAAGGAAGAAAAAAGAAAAAGAAAAGCTAGGTATTTGGAACCCACCCAAGTTGAAGAGGTGACTGTGTGTTGTTCCTTGCAACAGCAAATTCCTTTTTCTGGGTGGCAAATCCTCTTCTTTGTGCTGCTGCATCAATTGATCAGTGGATTCCATGTCTTGCCAGGGTTCAAAGCATGTGAAGTCTTCATCCTGCAAAAATCACACTCAACGTGTTTTGGTCATTTATAAAACAGAACTTTTAACTTATTTATATCTTGAAGAGCTTCGTTTCCCATGCCAATACTGCTTGACTCAGGGGTCTAGGTTACCAAGTGTCTGTCTGTCTCCTCTCCTGCTTAAAGTCTCAAGTGGTCCATGTAAACAAAACAGAGCTGAAAAGTCTCTCTTCCTCTTCCCAGAGCTGTTTTTTATCGATATGCAGGATTTCCTGACAGTGTGGTGTTGGCTAAATGTAAAACAGGCAGAGGATGAGCTTCTGTGTTAAAAACCCAGTTGTCTAATGGTAGGAGATCATCATTGGAGAAAAGCAGGTACAAATACCTGGACATCAAAACAGAGAGGAAAAACACAGGTATTAAAGCAGAGCACAGGCAGCTACAAACAAATTATTTGCTCTCAATCTTTGTACAGCACAAACCTTCCCTATTATGATGATCTCCAAAGTCATTTTTATTACCATCAATCCCTTCAATGAAAAGTTGTTATAAAGACAACATCTTAATCATTCAAAGAAAATTTGTTTTTCAAGTCTCCCTTCAAAGACTTGCAGTGCAAAACAAACATCAAGAAACCAATCACAAGTATTTGGGGGACAGAAAAGAAGTTGTCAAAAAACTTTTCTTAATGGACTAAACCCATTTGGAAATGACTTGTCCTCTTTAATCCAAACCAAAGATTTCAAGACAAGAAAAGCCACTAAACCATGGCAGTATCTGATTTATCATCACTGTTCTGGAAGTTGGTTCAGCCTCTGGTGACAAAAATGGGACARCTGATCATGCAGAGGGGTTTCAKAGATGTTGCACATTATAATAYAATGCAGARGGCATGAAGCTTGTAAAAAAATAARRGTTACTGGAYATATGCAGAAAAAAAGTCTTTGCTGTTCCTTTTAATGTTCAATTTTAATGTTAAATTTGTTTTAATGTTCAATTCTCCCACTGTCTTTATTTGCCAGCTCTATCTACAATTGTCAGTGGATCTCCACTTTTTCTTTCTTTCCTCATTAATTTACTGTTTACAGATACATTTTCCTGCAGACATGATTCAGTTTTGTCACACATATCTTGTCTCCTTCTCCACACTCTTCATTTGTCTCCAAAGCATCAGGTCCTTTCTTTCCTCAATACTCTCTCACTCTCTCCTGCTGCAATGTTTCAATGTTTCATCTTCTCAAATTCACCTTCCTCATTTGATTCAAAGTTTTCCTTTGAATAATTTAAGCAACCTATTTCTACATTTTGCTCYTTCCCACTGAACAGGTACCTTCATGCCAGGTAGTGCCCAAAATTCTCAGAATTTGCTCTGTATCTTTGATGAATCAAAATATCAACAAAACATATGTGGGACAGCTATCAGTACTGAATTGAGAGGAATGAAGATTAAAAATAATCACCAATAACAGAGATGATTATAACATAATCATCATAAGACACATTTTATACCACTCTTCTGAAGGAAATCTTCATTTTGTTCAGGATATATCCCACCCAACCCTTCTGTCTTTATTTTAATTTGAACTATCTTGCTTGACCTTATACTCTCTATTTTATCTCAATGTGAAACCARTTTCTGTTTTGGTTATAAAAACAGCATCAATGTCAAAAACATCTCATATAGATCTCTTCAATAAACTTTTGTTTTATCCCACAAGCAGGAAATGATCCAAAACCAAAAATTTCTGAGTTTTTCCCTAGAACTGGCACCTTCTGCAATATTTTCACTATAGTTAGTGAATGATGCATCAGTGAATTTTCAAGTCTCCTTGTGATTGTTTAAGATGCAGACAGGATTCTGGTGATATATCAAAAGTCACTCTTGTCACCACAGAAATCCCTTAGGAGCAGATTTCATTCTCTCATTTGSCTTTTAGAGGCAGATCAATCACACAACATCAGCTCCTGGAGAGGTACCATTTYTCTGACCTGACCTGGTTGAAACTTCTGCCTCTCTCTTTGGGCCCACAGCTTTTAATCTCCAGAAAATAAACTTGCAGGAGTAAGTGAAATAAAATTWAAAAAGACAACAGAGGAGGTAGCAGTGGCTGACTTTTTTTTAAATAATGGTAACACAAGGCAACAAAGGATTGTGATTTACCTGGAGGAATTTGGTGAGGAGCCAGCAGAAGGGTAAAATAGTCACACTATCCCCTTTCACACTAAAAGAGAGCCCCTTCTCAGTGACACATGCTGTGATATCTGAATTAGCCATAAAAACTGTCATTTTTCAGGACTTGCTTTCTCCCTGCTCCACCTTGTGCTCCTAATACTCAAAAATCAGTCTTTGCCTCCATCAGCTACCTGTGGAGCCACTAATATTCTTCTACAATTTCGATGCTTTTACAGCAAGATGCAGGAATGAAAAGAACTTACTTCAAAGTTTCAGCCAGGAAAAAGCTTTGCTGTACGTCGTCGTATGTAGGAGATGAGGAATAGACATCCTTGACACCAGAAAAGCCACCACTAACTCGGCAATACTTATCAATAGCCTGCAAAAARGAAGGGAAAAGACAGAGAATTTAAYTGCAGAACAAAATCTGGGAATTTTGAAGCATCAGGCTTGATYAACAAAGAAGGTGGTGCTTTCCATGCTGCATTATTCTGCTGGAGGATGCTACGGACATTAACAGCTTATGCTGGAAAAAAAATAAAAGGAGACTGGATGCATTCCTCCAGGATTATTAATGACACCACATTTGGCAAACTGCTACATGTAAGAAAGTATTTTGAGGAAGAACACTTTTTTTCCTGGGTATTTACTGCTGGCTGATATTGATGACATGACAAAGACTCTGTAGAGTTTTTCTCTCAGCTCATTCAGCTCCTCATAGATAACACTGATTGGAACATCCATCAGTCAAATCAATGCCATTTGTGCTGTGATGTGCACAGGAAGGTAACAAACACCCATGGATTTTGGAGCTGAAGGATCTAAACAATTACAGGAATTCTTTGACTAGCAGCTAGTTACAGAGACAAAATACTGTACTCATTTTTATGGATTCCTGATTTCATCCTATAAACTCTTCTAGTGCTGGTTTTTCCCCACATTTCCACCTCCTGCAGATGCTATTCTCCATTTCCACTCTACACAGATGAAACTCAAGACACCTTTGTGTGCTGAGTTTTAGCATGAAGTTTAAATCCTTACACATCTTACACATGCTTTAATCATTTAAATAATGAAGTTTAAATCCTTACACATTTCACAGAGGAAGGGGCCAATGGAGCCTCCTCCCAATTCCAACCCAGCACTGCAAAAAGCACAACAGGAGAGGAGGAGAGTGCAAAGAAAGTGTTTTAGCTCAGAGAATCTCTCACCTACACTTTGATAATTCCACTGGCACGCACGACCTTGCAGCACACAAGGATATCAGCCATTAAAACCAGCTCCAAAGAAATGATTCACAGGTTATTTGTGCTTCCCTGCTGCTCTGACTGCACCTCCTCAGCAGACACCAACTCTTTTAATAGATTCATGCAGGGACAGAAAAGAAGCAGGGATGAAGGGAAATGTTTGTCTCAGGATGGCTGTCATTACCAATGACTGAACGTAGCTACCTGCAGTTAGTAATTTATGATTCAGCCTGATAGTCTGTGTGAAGCTCCTCTCCACATGGTGCTTTAGGCTCAGATTTTTGGTWATTCTCATTTTTTGCTAGTTATACTCAACAGATGCTGAGGGGAGGCAAGGCAGGGGAGCAAAATACGTTCTGAACGATGCCCTTTTTGTGCACAGAAAACAGATTCAATCAAAATTAACTCTTCAAGGACCCCACTATTACCTTTGCACAGTGGAAGTACTGGGGGAAAAGAGGAATTTTCCACTGGACAAATGCATGAAGAATGTTGGCAGATGCTGTCACTGAAATCAGAAGTAAARCTTGAGGAAAATACCTAAGACAGTCACAGCACAGCAGGTACTACAGCTGATCTTAGAGAATACACTCCTACCCCAAGGAAATGGGAATTTCATGGACCAAAGAATAATCCAGACTGCACAAAGTCCTTTCCAATTGTTGAAAAGCAAGGTTTTCAAAGGAACAAGAGAAGAGACTGGTAAAAGGATGTTACTGGGATGGCTGTGGCTCTGGAGCCTGAGCTTATGCCCAGAAAAAGTTCAGTTCTTTCTTGGCAAAATCTACTTCTTGCTGGAATTTTTTATCTCAAGCTTTCTCCAAGTTTGGATGGAAARGATCCATTTTTGTTGGGATTTGAATCTTGAAGGAGAAAGTGTCTGGATGAATTCTTTTGTGGTTTGGTCCAGGTTAGGGCTACACTGAGACAATTCACACACTTTGATTTGGGTTGGGCAAGTTTTCTCTGCAGTTTGGAGAGAAAGATGCACGTGATACATCTGATCCAACAGCACCAAATGACAATTCCTTCATCTGCTTCATCTTCATATGCTCCTGAATATCAAATCCTGCTAACTACCACAAGGCAGCCAAATAACAACATCAACAAAAAAAA